ATATATATATATATATATATATATATATATATATATATATATATATTCAACCAATCAATAAGTTTCTATTAAAGGCCTAGTGTATACCCCTATAAAGTGATCCTAACAATAGCAACTAGGATATTCACAGACTTCATATCCCAGGTGGAATTAAAACATATTGATGGAATCTTTTAAGAGCAAGGTAGAGCTCTTATTATAGGGATCAGTGAGGAACTTGAGGCATCTTTCTGGTTTGACCTCCTGACAAGCATCAAAAAACCAGAAGGATTTTGGAAAAGTGAACACTGTTAGGCTCAGAGCAGCCAACTATTTATTATGCTTCAGGTTTAGGGGTCATGTGGCTTCTGGTGTCTTCAGTGTCTCATTGATAACCTATGAGGCAGTTGGGCATATAGCAGACTTGTATCCTGAAGGAGAGTTCAAAGTGCTGGATATAGGGAGCTTATACTGGATCTCATTTATTGGGGAGAATATGTGGGTTTCTCAGCAAGTTCACCAGGTCGCAGGAGTAACAGAGGTGTTTGAGGAGCCAGGTATGGGAATATGGTTTTATTAAGAACATGTCTGGACAAGAACATGTTTGAGAAACAATATCATGTTATGTTTTGCACTAAACTTTGCTTGACTTGCACAATGTGTTGCTTCAGGGCACTTGGGAGGCAAATATAGGTGGCCTCACAATATCAAGTCAGTCCTGCTCAGGCGTGATAGCCCAGCCCATACAATCCACCCCCTTAACACCTGAGAGTACTTAAAATTATTTGATTGAGAGAATTCTGTAGGATTTCCTTCCAGATCAATAATCTCTATCAATCTAATGTCATTACTAATAGGGTTAGCCAGAGCCAAGGTCTAGCTAGTAGAAAAGGTCAAAAAATGTTTCATTCTGATGTACCTCAGAGAGCTAGGTGGCCTCTTCTCTAATTTAATCTATTAATTGCTCTACCTATCCAGTAGTGTTAATCTAATATGAGCCCAGGGTATTGATGAGGGCGCATATTCTGCCTTGGTTAGCCAAGAGATACTCAAGCATTAGCCAGCTGACAAGGACTTTGGAGGCTAATGAGTTGTGGTTTACCGGTCAGTGGCCTCTGCTGTCACATTAGCAGGTTATGTAGAGAGTGAAACACCTAAGCCTCTGCGAAGAAGAACTCTAGTGGGCCTGTTTACCAAGTATTAGGCATGCCTTGGAAGAGTCCCCTTTTTACTCTTTGTAATCTTATACACTCAGGGTCAAAAACAGTAAGCACCAAAAAAGGGTAACATGGACCAAAAAAAAAATATTCCTGACAGGATACTGGGGCAGGGAAAGCCCTGTTCCCACAAGGGTATATAACACCTGGAGTCAGCAGGGCCCTTCCATCACCACATTGTACATAGGTTAAGTTCTAACCTCACATGGTACAAGACTTAAGATTTCTCAACTTCCCAGTGTCCATAATGCTCAGTCAAGCCGCGAACTGGATAAAGCTACACACCCACATGATGATGATTTCTAGATCTGATGAGATCTTTCAGTCAGTAGTTATAACCATATGGGATGGTGATCATATTCTAGTTAGGAAATAGATAGGATCCCATGAATCAAGGTTGTTCCTTCAACCAAGCCCCTCATTTTCACATTGTTATCAGGGATACATAGACCTTCATTTCAGGAGTTCCATGGCCTGGGTGTCGCACCCAGCAACAAGTCTAGTTCTCTGATTTAGTGATGGTTTCCATAACTTATGAAGACCATTACACAAGTGTAGTCTGATTTGTATTAGTCTGGAAAATAGGGCTAGAAGAGTCACAAGGCACCAGTAAGTCATGATGCTGAATCAGCCACATAGCAGTTGCAATGATTATTGCTGTTAATAACAGGGTCAGAGTCCAGAAGGCTGGTTCATCATGTGATAAACATTACACGATATTCATGATAATCATATAACAAAATAGGTCAGTTATTCTCCCCCTTTTTGTGTGTTCCCCCCATTTAGTCTGGTTCAGATATGTTCTTTATCAACTGCATGATAGCTAAGCTATCCATCTTCTAATATCTAGACAGTGTCCCCACTGCCTGCAGCTATGATGTCTATTGGGACTTACTTTTCACCCCCCGGTCTTGTTTTGGTACCAAAACTTCTGTTCCAAATGAGATATGAAAGGTTGGTTTAGTGGGTATGAAAGGTTGGTTTAGTGGGTATCAGGTATATGCAATCCAATACTTTTTCTGGCATAGCTTTCTCATTTTCTGGTACATAACAACATAAGAAAATACAATGATTTGTTTCTGTCTCCAACTAGTGATAAAGACTAGTTGGTATCAGGTGGTATGTGGGCATTGAGGGTCATGTCAGCCTCATTTGATTACTTCAGAGGGTGAATAAGTATGAGTATACAAGCCATCCACCCCTTGAACAGGGCTTCAGGGGAAAAATGAAAGGGTCAATAATTGTTAGATTTTGCATCTATGTTTGTGTTATGATCACAGGCCTTCTTCTCCATCTCTACTCCTTGGTAAGTTGTGTCCCATTA